CAATGTGAGAGGCAGCGGACCCGGGTGCGGTGGCAGACATTCGCTGACTGAGGAAAGAAGGGATGGAACCCCAAGATTGCTTGTGCAAATGTTTTTTACCGTTCATATCCGACTGCAACAAGAGGCGTGACGATGAGGGTCCAGAAAGAGAAGCAGAGCCTAGAAGAGCAACGGCGCGAAAATACGCAGCCATGCCTCCTAGAATTCTCGGAGAAATATCTCCCGATTACCTGTCATTTCATCGATTTGGGACAAACAAAGTATTGTGTGCACTATATGCTGAAAACTATGGCTGTGTATGCTGAATACAGTACTGTCAAATTCAATACAGATGCGTTCTGACCCTTCCCGTATATTTTTTCAGATTTGGTCTCAATGCTCTTCGACCAAGGCTCACAGGAGCAAGGATTCAGAATTTGCTTTCTCAGTTGCAAATCAGATCGGTCACGGTATCAAAATTTACATCAAGGGTTTTTTTCATTCGGGAGATCAATCACAGCCTGTCCTGACGTTGAGGAGAATTTCTGTTTAGTATTACCCTTCCACAACAGATAGATCGTCTTAAGAAAGTTTCTCGGGGATTTGCCGCTGACGTGGGATAGGAGAGAGGGGCAAGGGCAAAGCATGCATAAAAAGGGAAGAAACAGAAAAAACATTCTCTGAAGGCGGCGCTCCTCTTCCCCATCGACGAAGGACGACCCCGTCTGGGACCTTCAACGTATCACCTGCCCTGGGATCAATAAAAGGCAGTTAGTACAATGGCTAGGGGGGGAGCAAACAGTTTCTATGTCAACCAATGGTGCTGAAACTGCTACACCCCCTAGCTACCGCTTCCATTACATCTATACTTCAATTACTGCGTCTTCTTTTTATGTGTCTTCTAGTTCTCTCTTTCAGTTGACAATTCCGAAGATGAAAATCGAGACGGACTTCAAACTCAAACAAGCGCTCATCGCCATGGGAGTGACGCAGATGTTCACTGACAACGCTGACTTGACCGGAATCACCAAGAGTCCTCCGCTTAAGATTTCAGACGCTACTCATAGAGCCATCATCGAGGTGACTAGATGTCTCTCACACAGGAAACTTTTTCCTTCAATCTTCTTGTTCATAGCCACCACATTTCAGGTAGACGAGGAGGGAACAACAGCGGCGGCAGCCACGGTCATCACTGCTGTAGGATCTGGTGTTCCGCAGCCATCAGTGCGATTCCTAGCTGATCATCCGTTTTTGTTCATCCTTACAAAAGATAACAATCCTCTGTTCATGGGTCAATTTGTGTGAAAAGATTGAAACACTTCGAAAATGAATGATGAGATGCACTGTCGATAGAGGAATGCTATGCTTATTTGCTCACAGGCGCTGATCATTTTGAGGGGTGGGAGGAGGTATTCGACCTCCTGCTTCTGCAAAGCTAGAAGCTAGATATGCCGTAACGGAGATGAGGTCTTCTTCAGAAGCCCAAAAGAGGAATCAACATTGGTTAGGGTGAACATACTCCAGAAACGATGTACGCATCCAGAACCGGCATTACCGCGACGATGCGGACAACTTTTGCATGAATAGGCTTGATCAGAGCAGGTGGTAAAGTTCTGTGGTTCAGGAACCGAAAATAGCATATTCTTCGCGATGTGGACTCAGGAGAACTTTCTGCGGAGAGAATTCAGCACTTCGCTTGTTGCAGACCAACTGAACAACCATAACTGTATGCAAGATGAACCGGATAGGAAGGCGGTCGTTACTCTCACGGTGCGACGACGCCTAAGTGCTCAAAATCATCTGTAACAAATGGTCCCCTTAGGCCCACATTCGGCTTTTTT